GCACCGTAACTTCGTATGAGGCCCCTGTTAACTTTCAAACATCTGTCATCTGTTTGAGCATAATACCTCCCTGGAGTTGAACAGTCATTCAGGTATTTTGAACAAGAACCAACTTGCAATTAACATCAAAGCCTGGCATTAAAAAAACAAAGAGAAATTTGTTTGTTATTTTTGGAAAAAAGTGCTGCTGCTCACAGTCCAAAGGTCTCCTCCAGCTCTCTGACCACAGTTCACAGCTCCAAACAGAACAAAATTGAGAAAAGTAAAATAATGAAAAAAAAAAATCATAGGTTCTAACAGCACTTAATTTTTTGTGTTTGCTATTATTTAGCTAGAAGCAAAGACATTGCTGTAGAAATTGTAGTTTTCTGGATTAGCATGTGAACGCTTAGCATGGTAGAACATGGGAATGTACAGCACTGGAAGAGAATATACAGTTACTAGGTTAGACATAAACACTAATGTCTCAAATTCCCTTTCTCTGAAATATGCATCCAATTTACCATGTCATCTCTTTATTTAACTCCTTCGACATTTACTTTGTGTTTATCACCCTCTGTGCAAAGCAATGGAATATCAACCAACTGCTGCCCTCTGCTAGCTATACTCCTTAATATCAAGAGATTAGTGGTAATCACATTCATTCGGCATTGCTTTGTTCAAAATTTTAATAAAGGTATGATAGCTAGATCATGTTCTTTAAAATTGAGCAATGCTGAAGGATTTATAATAAGTTAATAGAAGGCTTATTTGTCTTTATTTTTTCATTCTCGAACATGAGAGGGAGCTTTCCCCGGTATAGAAGAATAGTGTTGAGCTTTTGCTGGCCTACATCATTATTTAGAATTGTCAAGAGGAAAGACTAATTCAAAAGAAAGGATAAAGTCATGTTTGTAACAGGTCAGTTTCTCAATGTAATGGAAGAGTTCTATTTCACATGACAGGAAACAGCAAGAGGTTTGGGATGAAACTGTTAAGATGTCATGACATTTAGAATATTGGTTTTATACTCTCATTAACTCAAATTTCTAACTTTAATAATTCTATTTGTGTCATATTTTTGGCAAACAATGAGACATCTGCTTGCCATGTGGTCATGATCTGTCTAGGTTTCCTGGAATCATTAGTGGGCTCCCTGACTTATATTGAGGAATCATCATGAACTGCTACAGTACAGCAAGGCTTGTCATAAAAAAGGCACAAACCAGAAAACATAAATTGTGGGAATAGAAGTCCAACAAAAATTGTGAGCCTCACGCCTCATTCCCTCCACTTCCCCCACCTCCTACCCATCCATACTACTACCACCCCCATTTACATGGTCAAAGTCCAAGCAATGACAAGTTCAATTATGCAAAGAAGCTCTGCAGAGAGAGCAGCTTTTCTCATACCGACTGTCAGTTCTTGCAGTCAGTGTTCAATGTAATGATGCAGCTCAAAGACTGGATTCCCCTTCTTTTAAATACACTTGTCATGTGTCCACACTCGAAGTGTGTTGGTTACACTGCTAGGCTTGCTGTTCATGAAATGGGCAGCCTGAAGGGGACATGGATAGAATGGAGAAGACACCATTGTATATACCTCCAATGCTCTGCCTGTACCTTCTGTTGGGAATATGACACCAAGTAGATTGGCACCAAGTAATGATGTTTGTTTGAAGAATTGGTATAGGCACGATGGGCCAAGTGGCTGCCTTCTGCGACATAACAATTCTGTGATCCTGTGACACTACGCTGCTAGAAAGATCAATCTGCACGTGTCTGTGTGTGTTTTAGGCTCATTTGAACAATATTTCTCCTTAAGTGTTTCCAATTCCTGTTGGGATGCAATATCTATGAAATGAATGTTTTGAGATCATTATTTTCTGATTTTTATTTTCTGCTTTAAAGTTGCATCACAGTTCTTCAAGTACTTTGTGATGGTCGCAGTGTAGTTTTAGCCCTAAAAAGTCCATTCCAAATATTTATCAATGCTTTGCATGATGTATCTCACTGGAAATGTCAAACACATTACCAGCAACATCTCGGAGAAAATAAGTTATGTGCAGAGAAGTTCCTTTTCTAGCTTGAAAATAAGACAAAATGGTTTATACAGTTCTAAAAATGATACTGTGATTCTAACCTTTGAGTACGCAATATTCTTTGCCGTCTTCAAACATTCTGTGTCTGATATCAGAAAATTATTTGTTTTAGGGGCTCAATGAATAGTCCTTAAAAGTAAAGGGATAGAAATGTCATAGAATGCTCCTGAGAAAATATTCTTCAGGCCAAAAAAATTAAATTTATGATATAAATTCAAATTTAATTCTGTATGTTAGGTATGCTTCATAAAAGAGCGCTACCTTTTTCTATTCAGCATATCCAGTTTGAGCTTACGGCTTGATTTTGTGCTGTGTAGTTGGAGAATAAAGAGCTATCATATTTTATCATGTCTTGAGGACATTTCAAAGTGCTTCATTTCCATTTTTTACATTTTGCAGTATAATCACTGCAATTTATAAGCACATAAGACATCTAATAGTCCCTAGCCCTAGTCGACAGGTACTGCTTTGAAATAATAGAGGTGATGTTGGAGTGCTAGTACCTGGTTTTTGGGTAGGTTTAATACTGAAAAGGGTAACAGTGGGAGTCTATGCCCAATCTACATGTCCATTTGGATCATTCCTAACTTTGCCAGGCTCTTGTTTCCCTGGTGTCAGGCATTTCCTAAAGTGGGCTTTAACTGACCCCTTTTGGACAAGTCACTTTCTCTGTCTGTTTGTCTATCTCTTTTTCTGTATCTCTCTCTCTTCTTTCCTTTCCCCACTCCCCCCCAACCAATCATTTTCTCTTACTGTTATTCTCTCTTTCTCTCTGTCTCTCACCACCCCCCCACCCCACCATCCATCTCCACAGTAGGAATGTCCTACCCTTCACTCTTTCTCTGATACACTGATGGTGTACTTGTTGCTGCTTCTTGCTCTTATCCAGAATTGGAAACATTAATCGAATTTGTTTCTAATTTCCATCCTCTTCTCACCTTCACTCAGTCTGTCTCTGACTCTTTCCTCCCTTTCCTTGACTTCTCTATTTCTGTATTGTCCACCAATATCCATTAAAAGCCCACCATCTCCCATAGCTACCACGTACACATCCTCACATCTTGTTTCCCAGGGGAATATTTCCCCAGGGCCCTACCATTAAGCATGTAAGTCCTGCCCCAGTTTGCCTTACCAAAATGCAACATCTCACATTTATCTAAATTCAACTCCATATGCCGCTTCTTGACCCATTGGCCTGTGTGATCAAGGTCCCATTGTACTCTGAGATAACCTTCTTCACTGTTCACTATACCAACCTATTTTGGTGTCATCTTCCAACTTACTAACCATACCTCCTATATTCACATCCAAATCATTTAAATAAATGATGAAAAGCAGTAGATCCAGCAGTGACCCTTGTGGAACACTGCTGGTCACAGGTCTGTACTACTTTCAATTTCATCTACTGCATTCACTGCTCACATTGCAGGCTCCTTTACATTGGTGAGACCAAACAGTCTGCTTAATTGTTTTACAGAGCACTTCCACTGTGTCCATGGGAATGACCCAGATCTTCTAGTGGCTTGCTATTTCAGTGATTCACCCAGCTGTCATGCTAATATTTTTTTTCTGTGCCTGCTGCAATGTTCTAATGAAGCACGACACAAAGTCAAAGAATGCCACCACATTTTCTGTTTGGGTATTTTATAGCCTAGAGGTTGCATTATTGATTTAAACTGAGAGCTTGAACTCATGATGTTTGTTCTCCATTTTTCTTATATTACCACACCCTCCCTCCACAAGCCTTAACATTTTAATGTCTTGTTTACTCAGCCAAGAGGACCTATTTTCACCCATTTTTGCCTTAATTTACACCCATTTTAGATCTCTTCCTTTTTCTGTGTTAGTGTTTGTGCCTATTAGTCGCTCAGAGAGTTTTCTGCCCCTAACTCTAATTCCTTTTGTTGATTAAAGAAGGAATCTAAATCACTCACCTTGGTTGATTCTTTGCTGTTTGTCAAATAATCCCAAAGGAGATCTCCAAATGAAACATACAAGACCTCAATTTAGTGTTTGATGTGAAGATTGGCACATCTGATAATGTAGCATTCCCTGCATCACTGATGCTTGAACTCTCAAATTTCTGAATTTGAGATTGAGAGCGCTATCAAATGATTCAATGTTGCATCAAGTTTACTGCAAGACAAAAATAAAAGCAGAGATCTTTCTGGTTGTTCACAAAGCTTGGAAAGACTACACCACATTCGAGGTTTGAAATTATTATTGGCAGAATTTGTGAACAAAAACTTACCGTGTTTATATTACAGTATTTGGTCTTTTAACAGAAATAGCTATTTTGATGTGTTTATTACAAAAATCATGAATTATTATATGGATGCATCAAGTATTCAACTACTCGCACGATCAAAAGTAATGCCTTGGTTTATCTCAGTCCGAGAGGGTGATTAGAACAGATTCAAGAGAAACTTATGAAAGTGAATTGGAGCTATGAAAAGAAAAATGTACAAAGTCCCATAGGAAGAATAGAGGGGGTGTGAGACTAATTGGTTACCCGTCTCAAAGAACTGTCAAATAGAATGATGGCCAAATAATCATCTTTTTCCTGGAAATGTCTACGAATTTTATCATTCCTTCAATTCAATAGTCCTAGATTGTAAAGAGTGGAGTGAAATTAGACACAGTCTGAAAGCACATCTTAATACTATTTTTTACAGTGTTTTTTCAGCTTATTTTTGCAACTGATTGCAAATAGGTTGAGTAAGATGTAAATGTGAATTGATTTTCTGTGAACTGAGAAATCTTTAGAATGTTACTTATTTCTGGTGGAATTCCTCTGGGACTACCTTGTTAACCCAGTCCAGGACCTTTGAAAGGAAATTGCTGATGTGAAAGATTTTTTGGTGTATGCTTCTGTCACTGTAATAATTCAACTTACTCAATCCATTTCCATCTCAAATAGCTGCAAGTTGAAATTACCGAACCCACTGGGAAACTCCTTGAAGGACCAGCCACCCTGTACATCACGATTATTGATCAGAATGATAACAAACCTCTCTTCAGGGAAGGACCGTACGTGGGCCATGTCCTGGAAGCATCCCCTACTGGTGAGTTAAATCTATGGTTAGAAGCTGTTTCCTGAAAGAAGTGTACAAGACATCTGGAATCATGAAGGAATTATATGCTCCTAATGAATATGTGCTGAATATTTTAGTTAAAGTTCATCTTGATGTGTTCTTTCTCCTGATTCTTACGAAGAGTTTTGTCAGTATTTGACTTTGCTGAGTTAGCTAATTCTGTACAACTCTAATGTAATGATTTAAGCATATTGGACTGTTGATTATAATTCTGTCATTTAATGCTAAACTCTATCATTATTTTCTCTTACACAACCCGTTAATAATTGAGGGCAAGCTGGCAAACTGCTTCCAGGCCATTGCCAATGTTCTTCGATCACTCAAGGTTCACCTAAAACTTACTATGATAGAGCACTGGCAAGACTTGTGCTGCTTGTGGTGCTAAGCCCTACTGTCCATTCTAATGCTTACTTAGAGATCTATTTAGAATCAAATGGAATGAATTGTGGATGAACAGATCGAACTTTCCAGATTTAATTTCTCAACATTACCCTGGCACACTGTGGACCCGTCTAGTTCAGATATTGGATTACTGAGTCTGTCAAAAAGATTGATTTGTCTCCAGGCTTTCATTGTCAGCTATGCCGTCTTTGTGACTCATTGACTTCAAGGAAACATTATACCATATCAACTTCTTCCAAAGGAAATAGTTGTTGCCCGATTGCTCAAATCCAGGTTTAAGCATTTGCTATGTGGACAACAGATGTCAGGCACAAGTCAGCATAACATGTCACCTTGCTCCTGACAACATTAAGAACACTCTCTCATCACATTCAGTGGTGGCTTGATCAATTGTAGATGTAAGGGCTGGAATTGCATATGCTCGCCTTCCTATAATTGAGTTATACTTGGCATCAAATCTCATGTATGTGAGGTTCAAGATTGAGGTAACCAATTCTAGAAATTGTGGTTAATTACCTCACAGTATTCTCATTATCTACAGGCTGCTTTTAGTGTGAGGATAGTTTGTGCCTACGTCTTATGTTGATATTCTCAATATTACCAGGTGTAGTACTCCATCATATATTTATAAAGCAAGGTCATTTGTGGTCTGCTTTGGATAATGGCTCACAACCATGATGCTAACTTAACCCATCCAGTCCTGGATCTTTAAGGTGCATTGTCTTCAGTATGGAGGCAGCACATCCCTGCAGCTGATTTTCATCTTTCATCTGCCACTTTCATCTGGACCAGTTTAATTGGAGAGGTTGTGCTCTTTCACATACACTTGGATAAACTTACCTCATAACAGCCTCTCAGGTCCCAGAGGAGGACTTCCAGGTAAGAGTGAGCAAGCTGACAAGCTGCCTTCCTTAGTCTCCACGTCATTCCTTTGGCTGCCACAGCTTCAAAACCTCACATGTTGTTTTGTCATTGGAACTCCTGTCAAGATCATTTTAGTTTGATTCTATCAAAATGGCAAATTTCTAGGTGTTATCCCACCCTCCCTTCTTGTCTAGTTGCAGAATTGGGAAGTGTGATACTAATGGTGTGACTCCATTAAAGAGCTTTGGTAAAGGCTGATCCTTCATCATTCAGATTCCTAAATCACTATTAGTCCCTGGCAGAATAGCATGACTATGTTAAAAAAAATGACACACATTGGCTTTGAGCAACCATTCTTCTGATATTCCCTTCTCTGAAAGAGCCACCTCACCCCTGCTTAATAACTCCTGATAGCAGCAGAGACAAAGCCTCAGTAGGTCAATTTTTGTATGCTATTCATCCCCTACTACTTTATGCTGCTGTATTAATAATGAAATGTTGAGAAGTTACGGAGCTGTACGTCTTCTGGAAATGGAACAGAGGACACTGGAGGAAAGAATAATTGTGTCTTTAATTGCCTGCATATCTCAGTGCATATGCCAAAGAACCACGTGCTGAATGAAGATAAGATGATGAAGATAAATATGAAAATTGTCTAATAAACAGTAAAAAAACAAGCTTAGATTCAAATTGCAGTTTTATTCTGTTATACTTGGTTGTTTAAAGTGCTAATTAATTTATTGGCAAGTTGTCTGAATAAAACCCACCCAAGTATTTATGCAAATGAGATCACTGGAGAATTCTAGCTGCATGTCTATCTGTAAATGTTGATTTCGCTTTGATGTTACTGAACTACTTGGTGAGATGTTAACTCATTTAAAACACTGTCAATTGCACAATAGTTTACAAGTATCTGAAGGTGCAGATTTGTATCAAATATTAAGATGTTCAAACAAAATGTCTGTCTGTCTCCTGTTTTGTCACAGTTGCCTGCTCACATGTTTTAGCCTTCCCTAAAACAAGAATATCGTACAAATGCATTGGTTGGCTGTCATTATGAGCAACAGTGTTTTTATTATGAGACTAAGATCTTCTTCAGCCTTTTCCTCTGATGTTCTCATTAACCAGTCAGGGTTTAAACAAATTGAATCAGAGATAGTAGGAACTGCAGATGCTGGAGAATCCGAGACAACAAGGTGCAGGGCTGGATGAACACAGCAGGCCAAGCAGCATCAT